ATAACATCACAATGGTTCCTAAAAGTAACAACACATTACACATTCTTAATCCAACAAGTCAACACATCAATTTACTACTTGCCCCTTACAGGTTCTTGCATTATGTCCCTTGTTTTTACACTTGCTACAAGTGACAGTAATGAACTTCCTTGTGAGTTTTCCACTGCCCCCTGGACCATGACCATTTATACCACTAGCACCAGCCGTTTAACTTTGACTTTGATTTTCACTCTGATTCTGAGCTTGACTTTGAGATTTTTCCTCCATGGATCTTTGCCTCTTCTTCTTGGGCCTACCAGGTTGATTACGATGTGGAGGAGGGCTGATCTTCATGGAACAATCACTAACAGGCCACATGATACGACCTTTGATTGGTTCTACCTTGTAGGAATAAGCTTCTTTCCAGGTTTCAAGCCAATGCACCTTGTGTACATAAGTGTAAAGTTCACCCACATCCTCACCATTGTCAGCTTTATCAAATAGGACTGCAATCACATGCCTACAAGGAATTCCTGTTAATTCCCATTTTCTACAGCTGCATACCCTTTGGCCCATGTCAACAACATGTTGATCGTGCCATGGTCCTTGTACTTCATACTTGTATGAGGAATTCCACCTGGCTATGTAGTTAGAAGCATTTGTTGTGTTTGTTTCCATGATCTTTGTTGCTGTTGGAGTCAATGGACCTACACACTTCTGTTGAACCTTGATCACATTGCAAATCCTCTTCATTATGTACTCCCGAATGTACTCTAAGCATGTGATTATTGGTTTATCCCTCCCTTCTATCAGTTTACTGTTAAACACTTCACAAAGGTTATTCAAAAGCATGTATGTGATTGGTCTACCTGCAAGACAATTGTAACTTAGAACAACATATACCAAATATATGTAATTTATCATTGAATTGAAAGTTGTCTACCTGTGAAATGGCTTCTAGCCCAGTGTTGTGGTGGGATCTTCTTCACCCATTCATAAGCTTCTTTCTCATATTCACTGAACTCCTTCATCAAACGGTTGAATTCTTACACTGTTGTTGCTTTGGCACAGTTCCATAACCTATCTTTGTACTCAGTAGTTCTCCATCTCTTCCTCATGTTTTCATAGATATGTCTGAGACAGAATCTGTGTTCAGCAACTGGGAACAACTGTGCAATGGCTGGAATTAAGCCCTACGAAGTCATTAAATTGTGGTTAGTATAATACAAGTGCAATAAGAAAACTAAAATACATCAAGTAAATCTATTACCTTTTGTCTATCACTTATGAAAGTGAAGTTTGAAAGTTGTGACAGGCCAAGATCATCTCCCAGGTACTCTAGAAACCATTTCCAACTTTGTGTGTTCTCAGACTCAACAATGGCGTATGCCAATGGGTATATACCATTGTTAGAATCTAAGCCAACTGCAGTCAAGATCTGCCCTGGGAAAGCTCCTTTCATAAACGCCCCATCCAAACCAATAAAATCCATTAAGCATGCTTTGAACCCCTTTTTCATTCCACCTAAGAAAATATAAATCCTCTGAAAACATCTTGAAGTTGCATGTACAAGATTTGGTTGTTGAACCAGTTCCAGTTTCACAGTTGTGTCAGGATTTGTGGACTGCAACTCTAGTATGTAATCTCTCGGCACATCATATTGTTTTCTGTAATCTCCCATCACATGTTTTTTGGCATCTGCTATAGCCCTGAATATCTTATCTTTGGAGAAGCTCACCTGATATCTTTTCTGGAGTAGTTCTTGTACAGCTTTGATTGGCACAGTTGGGTTAGATTCCACTAGATCCATAATCTGTTTAGACATGAACTTTGTTGTAGCCGTTCTTACATTTCTTGTATTGAGGCATGAATGTTCAGGTTGGTACGTTTTCACACACCAACTTTCTTCCTCACTTTTCCTAGATGCTTGTAACACCCACTGACAAGACAGTTCAATACTTGTCTTTTTTACTTTTACCTTTAATTTTCTTCCCAGTGGTAGGTCCATCCACTTGCCCCTCATTAAATAATACTTTTCCTTTGCATGTGGCCCGCAACCTAAGTTTATCATTTTTCTTAATAAAAAGATTCTTCCTAGTTTCCAAGGCATGATGGGCAATCTTGTCTTTCAGCTCTTTTTTACTTTTGTATTTTTGTCCTATACGAAATGTTGGTGTATGAACTTCTCCTAAAGAACACCTTTTTTCCTTACCTAATTCTTTTATAACTTGTCTTCTCTTCTTGCCCATCTCAGAATCATCATCTGTTGAATCTCATTCATCATTGTCAATTACATCCAACTCCGTATCTTCAGGCTCCTGATTTCTATCTTTCTTCATGTTATCCCTTACTCTTTTCTCAAAAAACTCTGCTTCAGTGTCAATGCTCATGTGGAAATCCCTCATATCCACTTCAACTTCAGGAATGATATTCTCATCATCCACCCAATCACTGTCCTCACTGTCCTCGCTGTCATCTTCCTCATTATAGTGACTACCTTCTCCCCTATCAGATATGCTCCCATTATCATGCTCATCTTCTATGTTACCTTCCATTTCAGTCTCCATGTAATCATCCATGTAATTATCCATGTAATTTTCCAAGTGATCTTCCATGGCAGCCTCATGTCCATGTTCCAATTCCACTTCATCTTGTGCATTTTCTTCTACTTCTACTTGTGCATGTTCTTCCACTTCATCTTCAACATGTTCTTCCACTTCTACTTGTACATGTTGACCAACATCTGCATTTGATTGTAATATCTTTTGATACAAACCAATATCAAAATCTGTAGCTGCCTCAATAAAGTTATTGGCAATAAGCTCTTTTTGTCTATCATGAACCTCAACATGTAATGGTTGTACCTCAACTGGGGATGATGTAGGTGGGATTGGTAAATCTTGTACCTCATCTGTGGGGTTTTCATTATCATCATTTTCATCTACTTCATCCATTTGTACAATAGTTACCTTCCTAACAGGTTTAGGATTCATAAAGTAGGTAAGTAACTTTGTCTCGCCATGTTCAGTATATACCCTCATGATTTTGTGATCACGCACATATTGGGCAAAAGTTCGTAAATCATCATCATTGCCTAAGGGTTTAAGACCAAAGTGGAAGTCTCCACTAGGCACAAGGAAGTGATAGTAAATCACAGGAGGAACACCGTACCTGAACCCTTTCATGATAGCATCCATCTCATGAACTGAAAACTTGTCTATATCCACCATGTCAACATAGTTCACACTTCTGTCAATATACTGAACATTAGGAAGCTTGGTGAACTCACCTCCATGGTATAGCTTGATGGTAAATAATGTTGGGTGGCCATCTTCAAACCAACAACAAAAATAAGTTCAGAAGCATGATTTCACTTACAAAAGATGTAATGTACAGAGAAATTACAAAATCCTTACCATAAGCCACCTTTGCCTTAAACGGTTTGTCTAAGAGCCTTATATTCCACATTGGTATGTTCATACACTGAAATAACAGCGATCACAAAAAAACTTCACTTTGAGATTAGGGCTTTTGGGTAACGAACGAAGACGAAGGTGATATGATAGTCAATCGACGAACTGCACAGAGGATTTGGCGGTAGGTATCAATTAATTAGGAGGAAGGGGTTTAATTTAAGAAGATATTAAAAGAAGGGGTGTGAATTGACAGAAATACCCTCACACAAACGGAGGGCACAAACGGTTGTTAAGCCTTTGGACCAATTCCACAACAAATCAAACCTTTTGGACCACCGGTGCAACCCCAAAACTTTTTGGACCAAACATTCAATTTTTGACAAACCACAGGGACCAAACTTGCAATTTTGTCAAAAAAAAATATGCGTGGTCTATTCTTGTGAGAATGCAATGTTAAATTTTCAAAGGCGGCTGGCCGGCTTTAGTAGATAAGTCCCCAACCCGCCAACCCTGATGCATATTTTCATCCGGACTCCTTCGACTTTATAAATTTTGACATTGGTTAAATCAAATTTATACAACAAAAAAATATTTTTTAATCAAATTTAAGGAAACCTTCAATTATTTTAGTGCAAGATAGAGACATAATTATAGAAATGAGTTGAGATAATAGAGTGATGGATATATGTACCTCTGCCAAATGGCTTTCGGTTAGTATTTTTTAGTATATTATTGGTATCGATATTCTTCTAAAAGAGTGGTACTAAACGATATTTGAAATTTAAATTATACGTTTCATTTCTTTTGAAGATATAAATATTTATGTAATTGTTATTTCGAAAAATAACATAGTTGTCAAACTGTTCATGATAATTTGGTTCTTTTCTAACATACAATGAGCATTAAACCGCTAGAAAATGATATATAGGTTGACCATTTGTGCTTGTGGAATTTTCTTCTACATTATTTTGTCGGTTTAAAAAAGTCAGTTTAAAAATCCACGTTAAAGAAGTCGGTTTTAAAATCTTGTTAAATCTACAAAATCTAAATTATGCTAACCACAATAAAATTTGAATTAGTATTAAACGTACATCACAAATCTATAGTGCAATGCAATCTTGATCATCATGAAGTTTGTTAGATTTATCAGAATTTTGGAAATATGAGATTATTTTTTTATATATAAGTCCAAAATGATTGTCAAAACATGGTGGTCCGATTCCCATACTTTATTTATTTATTTATTAATGATCAAACGATTATTTGGCATCCTTATCGCAAAAGGACAACTCACATAAAATAAAAATAAAAATAAAAAATAAAGTACTTTTGTTTCTTTCAATATTGAATAATTTCAAGCAACTAAACAACTGGTATTAAGACGATATTAATATCGATCATATAGTATCTTTTTATTTTCAAAATTTTAAAATCATATCTAAAATACCAACCGTTAGACAAAATATTCATCTTCTTCATCTAAATTTGATACAAAATGACTAAATATTTCTTAACATTTTCACAGATTTTAGTCATCAAAAATACAAGAGAAAGTGAGAAGAAAAACGTAACCCTAAAAATGGCAGAACTAAAAAGAAAATTAAACTAAGCAACATGCAGCTGTAGAGGCGGAGGTTGAGGCATGGTTCGTCTCTTCCACAAATTGATCTCTTTTCTTGGCTCTAAGTTTATGACTCCACTCCTAACGAAATCATCAGAAATCCCTTTGTTTCTAACAATTACTGGTGCAGATGAAGGAATCAAGATCTTTTCATCTTCTTCACCGTCGCTTCCACCATCTTTATCGTCATCGGTGAAATAATTCCGGTGACCGGTATTCAACGGTGCAACCTGTGTTGTCCAATCGAAATTCTTGAAAGCGTCTCTTCCACTCGAGAATCTCTTCATCGTGCTCATACTTGGAGCCCTTGGAAGATTACACGCCGTCTTGGAGGAGGAGTTGTTGTTGGTTGCGTCGGACTTTCTCCCGTTGTTGCTAGCTCCGCCGCGGAATAAACTCCGGATCCCTAACTTTTTCTTACTCTTAACAACTGGATCGACTTTTTCCATCTTTTCTTGATCTTGTTCTTTGTGGTGGGTTCTTAAGACGTTGAAAGACATCGTTTTTGAAACTTTTTTGGTGGGGTTTGCGGGTGGTTTGACTTTGTTTGTGACACCATCGGCGCCGGCGAATTTGTTCCTGTAATGTTTACACTTGACCTGACCCATACAGGAGACTCTTGGAGAAGTGGGTTCATATAAAAGCGTGAAAGTTGAGTCGTTCTTGATTTTCCGGCGATTGTCCGACGGAATTATGGAAACCATGGGACCGGAGAAGCCAATTCCAAGATTGGATTTGTGGGTTTTTTCCGATGATCTCTTATCTTTATTGGGACTATAAAGTGGAGGGTTTTGAAACGAAACAGATGATGATGCTCTTGGAAGAAACTTCAAGATTTTGCTCTTTGGCTTTGATGCAGCCTTTTGTTGTTCCATTTTTCACACACCAAATCTTCTTCGTTCACTCTCTCTCTAAAAACTTGTGATTCTTCTTCACTCTATATGTATGTTGTATATCTAATATGAACAATGATTTTGTAATAGCTGTGTGGGTCTATGCGTGTGTATATATATGATGCATATGGGGTTTTCAGGAAAGAGAGAGGAAGAGAGGCCAGGGGAGTGATCTAGGTATTGGTCAAACGAGGGCAAATACGACTGAGCAAACTCAAGGCATATGGCATATTATTAAATGTGTATAAGATACTCAAAAGTTTTGAAACCTTCATTCCCATCTGTATAAACTACTATTAAAAGTAATAACTAATTACTAATTAGTACACACGTTTATTACACTTTACAATACCCGAAAGTGTCAAATTCCATAAGATGATAATTATTAGGCTGAAGGGTGTGGGCGCGGTCTGGGACCGCGGTTTGTGCCACGTCAACTGCGAACACCGCCCCCAGGCCGCGGTCTGGTGCGGTCTTGGCCGCAGTGCGGTCCTTTAGTGTCGTGTTTGGTGATTGGTGGATAATGCATTGACCGTTGAATGGGCTGGGTTGTTGGGTAATTAATTTTTTTTTTTTGCTTTTTCTTTCCTATATATATACATATCAACTTCATTTGTTTTTCACAACACAATCTCTTCTCTCTCTCAAAAAAAATTTTAAAAAAAATCACCACTCTCTCAAAAATGTCATCTTCTTCATCTTCTGAAGAATTTCAGACTATTTTTGATACCGCTATTGCGTGTGTTCAAATGGCGGAACAAACATAAAACGTTGTATGTAACAACGCAGCTGCAAGTTCTCAACGGAGAACACGAAGATATATTTGCAGAAATCGTGAAGAAGCCAACCAACGTTTGGTGCAAGACTATTTTGCAGAGAATGCCACTTATCAAGGGTATTATTTTCGTAGGCGTTTCAGAATGCTCAAAGGTTTATACGAACGTATAGTTGAAGATGTAACGAGGGAGTGCAGTTTTTTTCAACAACGCTACGATGCTAGAGGTACACCCGGTTTCACTCCCTTACAAAAATGCACGGCCGCACTTCGTCAGTTAGCATATGGCATTCCGCCTGATGCGTTAGACGAAAGTTTTAGGATGTCTGCTAGGATCGCACGAGACAGTCTCTATTTTTTCTGCAAAACTGTGATTCAGTTTTATGGTCCAAAATATTTACGTAAGCCTACACGTAATGACATCCTGCAATTGCAAGCTCATCATGCTAGTGTGCATGGGTTTCCTGGAATGCTAGGAAGCTGAGATTGTCTCCATTGGGCATGGGAAAATTGCCCTACAGCATATCATGGGCAATTTACCCGAGGTGATCATGGTCACCCAACGGTCATACTTGAAGCAGTTGCATCACAAGATATGTGGATTTGGCATGCTTTTTTTGGTTCTCTTGGTTCGATTAACGACATCAACGTTCTTAATCGTTCACCAATATTTAACAAAATATACGATGGATCCGCACCAGATTCTTCTTTTCAAGTGCGTGGAACGCCATATAAGTATGGTTATTATCTGGTCGATGGAATCTATCCTGAGTATGCTGTGTTTGTTAAATCGTTTACGAGTCCTGGTGGGATGTCAAGTCCACCAAGCAAATTACACCCTTTGTGTTGCAAATAAAACGTAATATAATGGTAAAAAGGGGTATCGATCCTCGGGGAAATGGTTGTATTCAATCACCAATGCAATCTAAAAGAACTATTGTAAATAAACTAACTAACTACAATTAAACTAAAAAAAAGGGGGGGGGGTGTTATGATTGCTTTAAAACTAAAAGACTTGAATAACTAAAAACTTGCAATTAAGCAAGATAGTGAGATGCTCAAATGTTGGGAACAATTGGTTAACCAAGGCAGTTCAACACAATGAACATTTGTGTGCTTATCATTAGGATCCAACATGAAGCTTATCATTCATCCCAAATTGGTTATAGCAATCATGAAGCATGATATGCCAAGATTCCTCTTAGGTAGTATGGAGGTTGGGGAAGCCCACAACACACCTTCTTAATCAAGATCAAGGGTTTAATTGAAGCAATTGAACCCAAGAAGTTAATTAGCCTTAAGAGAGAAGGAATCCCCAATTCCTAGAGGATGTCAATGCTTACACATCCATAAAGGAGCTATGATTCATAAACTAGAGATGATTTTTACCATCATAAAGCCCTTGTTCTAAGTTAATTCAATGATTCAATGCAAAACCAAAGAAATAAACTAACAATAGCTCATTCAAGTGTCAAGCTCATGATCAAAGCATTAAACAAGCATAAGAAATATGATCTAGAACCATAAACATAAGATAATTGATAATCTAGCATGAATCCTTCAAAAACCCACAAACATTCAAAGGTTTTAACCAAAGTTAACCAATATAGAGAGTTTAGCCACTCATGGCAATAAAACAACAATCACAAAAGTCTAATTGCATAAAGAAACTACCTAAGACTTGGAAAGATGAAAGGAAATGGGTTTCTAGCTCCAAAATCGCCTCTTGCAGGTCTCCAATGGTGTAAAATCGAAGTTATGGCTGCTAGGTCTGATCCCCCAAGGTAATGGCAAGCCAAATGACCAAAATGCCCAAACTGGGCAGTTGCGCGGGTACCCGCGCGACAAAAATTCCACCCGCGCAAATGTTGTTGTAATGCTATTGGTCCTTCATTCCACCACTCCACCATTCCACTACCAAAGATTCCTTTGGTCCCCTCCATATCCATGTGATTCAAATCAACCAATCATCTTTTAGCTTCAAATGTGGATGCTCCAAACCCAAATTAATTATCCATGATCCATCTTCACAAGCCCACTTCATCCAAGCCTTTATCTTTTTAAGCCCAAATCTCCTTTGGTGGATACGCCAAGCCCAATAGCGCCTCGAGAGCCCACAAGTCCGTCTTCACTCTAATCCACAATCGCGATAAGCTCCAAAACCCTGCAAAATTCCTCATGCAACATAAAAAGCACCTGGTACGATCCATACTAAAGAAAAATAAATAAAATACAATGCAATAATGATAAAAAGATCTAAAAATCTAAAATAAACTAATAAAATAAGGAAATAAAATAAGCTATCAAATCACCCCAAGCTTAAACCTAACTTGTCCTCAAGTTAAAACAAGACTAAAATGAGCTCGGGATGAGCTAAACTAAAAAGGAAAAAAGAAAGGTACCATAGAACTTGGTCAACATCAGTCAACATGGTCATAATTAGTCCTTCATGGACCCTACGCATCTTCAAAATGTTCCCCGCTTTAGAGCCATAAACCACATTCTCAACCACTTGATGGGCGAATAGATCACGGTTGGATGCAGTCGTGGTGTGCAAGACAAAGGAAACAGAGATGCGCCCAGTGGGGGCACTTTAAATCACCAATGCAGACCATAGTGCACGAAGGAAAGGCGCCTCTTCACACACTATGGTTCCTACATTTGTAAGGCTAAAGTGTTTAATACGAAATAGGGTTTTGCAGCACGGCCTCCGGGCAAACATCCGGTTTCAGAGGCTTCTCCCTTGTACTGTCCTTTACAATTTACCGTCTCATCGTCGGGGCCTTTTCTCACCAAAAATCAAAAATAAAATAATAAAAATTCTACTTAACCTAAATCTAAACCTAACAACCTAAATCTTCAATCCTGAACTTCTTTTATTTGGATTTCAGCCTCTTTTGTTGCTTGACATTCAGTTTTTTTTTAGAAGTCTTGAACTTGGAGTCTTGTTCTTCTTTTTGTGTTGCTCTTTTTCTTCATTTTTCTTCTTTGTTTTTGTTGCTTTTCTTGAATCTTCTTCATTGTTTCTTTTTGTCTTCACTTTTCCAATTTTTTCATTTTTCTGCGTTTTCTTCTTGGAAGGTCTAAGGAATTTCACCATGTAACATAGGATGGAGGCTAACATGAACACCTAATGATCATTGACAATGTGCCAATGTCAACTAAAAAGGGTGGGAAATGACTCAAAAATGGGTGTTACCGAAAAGACTTGGTTCCAAAAGATGTGAATTGGGGGACCCACTTCAAAGTTCATCAAGCACCTCAATGCAAGGTGTGGTAAACAAAATCTATCTAACTATCTACTCTAGACTCCTAAAAAAATAACCTATCTTAAAAAGGGTGGTGAGAATCTAGCTAAGTAAGGCTCGGACGAGACTCGGGAGTACTAAGGGGTACTCCCTCCAAAACCAAGATGCGAGTCTTCAATATCTTCAATGTCTTCAAAATACCTTATCGGGCTAATCTTTGCTCGCACACATTGGCATGACCAACCACATCCCTCCGCACCTAGACCCAATCAAGCTACCTGCATCTGACCCCCACACAAGTGGTCTCAAAGTGGTCTGTGAGGCCCAAAACGTGTCCCATTTATCAAATACAAGGGATTCCATATCAAGACCCGGGACCAGTCTATGATTCAATACTTATGACTCGGTGCTCTGGTACCTGTAGGGATGAGAAGACAAGAGAGAACAAAAATACATGAACTTAAACTGGAATGCATCTAAAAAGAATGAAAATTAGAAAAGAAAGAAAGAAAATATGCAATATTTTTGGAATTTTTATGCAATTTTTATGAATGACCTAAATGAGTTACTCTAAATGCAACTATATACAACCTAAATGCAATAAAAATAAAAATATAAGAATACCTCACCCCAAGCTTAAAATTTAGCATTGTCCTCAATGCTTAGGATGAGAGTAAGGAAGGATCATACCGGGATCAAGGTGGAGGAGGCCCGTGAGGACGGTATGGAAGCAACACATGGGTTGTACAATGATGTGTGGATGGAGTTCTTGGCCACCTAAATACACATGGATGAAAGCTTGGTCGCGCAAAGGAAGCATATGCAATGACTCAAAATTTTCTTATGAAGTGACACATTTCCGCGGGTACCCTTGCAAACTTTGCGCGGGTGGTGGTTGGGTCGAGCAAATAAAGAATTAGCATCATTGGTCTCGCAAAGAAAGGGAAGGATTTGGTCTT